AAAGCCAATCCTGATATCCATGGGGCTGGAACATAAGCCTTTCCTAGTGAGGGGCCCCAAAGGGGGCAAGTATTTCAAGCAGTAATACAATTTATATGAATTCTTTAGAAAATAGAAAAGGAACGTAGCACTCAAAACATTTAAAATTCTCAATTTCACTATTAGCCAAATGCAAATCAAATCAATCATCTGTTGGGTTGAAGTTGAACAAAAAAATTAATTGATAACTATCCAGTATGAGTTAGAATGGAGGGAAATGAACAAAATTTTAAACACGGGATTTTATTTTTTCCATATTTTTATTGATGCATTATAGTTATATATAATGGTGGGATTAGTTTTTAAATATTCATACATGCACACAATATAACGATATAATTTGGCCAGTCTCATTCCCCAGTATTTTCTCTTTGCCTCCTTCTTCATCCTCCCCCGATCCCTTTTCTCTACTATACTGATCTCCTTTTGATTTTCACCTCCCCCGCCACACACCTTCCTTTTCTGTTTTCCTCTCTAGCTTCCACATATGAGAGAAAAAATATGTGCATTAACCTAAGTTTGGCTTATTTTTCTTGACATAATTTTTTAAACTTCCAACCATTTTTCATGTAAATGACATATTCTTTATGGCTTAATACAACTTCATTGTGTATATACCACATTTCTTTATCCATTCATCCATTGATGGACACCTTGGCTAATTCCATAGTTTGCTATTGCACACACTGTTTTTAGTAATGTAAATTGGAATTTTGGAAGAATAATTTGATTGCACCTATAAATTTTTTAAAAATTTTATATATTTATGCAAACAGTTTCATTTTTCTGGATCTATCCCACATACCTGTCTGCTAGTACCTAGTGTTAACAATGACAGGTATATGAAGCCAGTCTAGTTTTCATATCCTTCAGTCCATGTTTCCCTATTCCTCACTTTGGACATTTTTAGAAGTTTCTACTTAGACCTGCTCCAAAATTTCACTACGATACACCATATTGTAGGATCTTTTCACACTTATCCCAGGTACCACTCAATGGGCCATTTCAGTTTGGGCTATCTGATGGTTGTCTTTGCTTGTTTGTTTGTATTTTATTTCTTCCTGCAAGGTATCTATTGGCTATCTTAAATTGTTTCTCAATCTCTCATGTTTATTGTCACAATTGCCCTATGCATGCTTCTCATTTTCTCTCTCTCTCTCTCTCTCTCTCCTCTGTTTTCCAGGAGATTTTACTTATGACTAACATTATAGGACTTTGGAAATATGTGGATAAAGATACAGAGACAGAAGACAAGTAGTGTGAAAAAAGTGAAGAAAAACAATGATATCATTAGCTTCTTTTTATTTATTTGTCTTATACTCGACAGTAGAAAGCTATTCAATTTATTGTACACAAATCGAGCAGAATTTTTCACTTCTCTGGTTGTGCATGAAGTAGAGTCACACCATTCGTTCAATCATACATGTACCTAGGGTAATGATGTCCATCTTATTCCATTATTTTTCCTACCTCTTTACTGCCTCCCTCCCTCCCCTTTGGTGTTAGCTTCTCTTAATTAAGCTGAACTATACAAATTTGGTGAGATTCAGTCTTTTAAATTGAAACATGGTAGTTTCATATTGTTCACATGATACATAATATACAAATGAGACAGAACAAGATATAAGAACTAAAAATAGTATAGTAAATAATACTTCAAGGAGGGAAGTAACCTAAATTCTCAGTTTTCATAAAAGAGCCAATAGAGCAGCTTATAATAATCAAAAGAGGGTGTTGAAAACCTCCTGGTAACCTGAATGCATCACTGAGACCGCATATTTTCTTGTGTCTTTGAGACTCAGGTGCAACACATTCTAGCCTTAGTGGTGAACGGATTGCTTTCACTAATACTACCCCACATTGAGCAGCATAGCATGGAGCAAGACTCTATTTACTGGAGTAAGACAGGGTGGTAAGCACAGGACTTTGCCTTAGAAGTGCCAAGTTAGCAAAAGCTAGCAATGGGGAGATCCTAATGATGCCTATGCCCTGAGCAGTCCCACAGATAAATCCTCTGAAACAGCCCTAAGGTTGGGCAGAGCACACAACCCCAGTCTATTTGACCTCTATTACAGTTAGCATCACCTGTGGCTGGTTGCAGTGGTCTAGGGCCGTTAAGTCCACCTTGGCAGTAGATAGCCAGTGAGGGTGTGGGCCTTGGTTTTACCCAGCGCTATGCTAGTCTTGGCAGGCTGTGAGTTCAGGGTGTGATGCAGCATTGCAGTTTTTGTAACCACAGTGTGGCATAGGAAACTGGGGCTGGTTCCTTCATGGGATACTGTCCAGAGCCAGTAAGAATTCCATGGTGCTTGACTAAAGGTTGGTGACTGTGGATGAGGCATTTGGACCTATCTCAGTCCCAAGAAGAGGCTTGTAGGGATGAACTATCTTTGTAGGGTTCTCACCCAATTCATGCTGAACACACCTACTATATATTTGGGGAAAACCTGGGCGTGGATTGCCCTCTAGTGATAAAACAATAGCAACACACCAACAGAGGACTCATGGCAAACCTGAATTTCAGGAACAATCCAGTGCTGAAATAGCAGAAGTGAATACAAGCTCAGAGAAAATAAGCAGCCCGTATGAATTTCTGGAAAGACAGGCACAAACAAAGCCATATTATAAAGACTATAATAAATGCCTAATCCTTCGATGTGCAGATGACTTTCCACACCAATAAGCATCAAGAACTTCTAGGGAACCATGACCTGATATAAAGGTCAGCATAGCATAGAGCAAGACTGACCACATAGTAACCAGTAAGGGGCAATTCTTAGAAAATGTAAAAGAGATATTTTTTAAAAAAACTAAATGAACTTTAAGAGAACACAGAGAAATAATTAAATACTACAACAGAGAAACTTGACACAGAGATGAAAGCAATTTTAAAAATCATGAAACTCCTTGAGCTAAGAAATATTAAGGAAAATTAAAAATGAGAATTATTTTTAATTTATTTCTTACATGACAATAGTAGAGTGCATTACATACATAATTATCCATTCACAGCACAATTTTTCATAACTCTGTATAGAGTATGTTCACGCCAAATTATGCCATTATACATGAGCTCTCATTTTTTTGCTTACAATTCTTAATACACCTTTATACCACAAAAAATGAGAATTATTAATAGCACAATAGATCAAACAGAAGAGGGAGGTACCTCCATACTACTTGAAGTTGGGGGAAGGGTGATTCAATCAACTCTTTCCTTCTTCAATGTGTCTTTTATACTAAAACCAGGAATTATGTTCTCTTACCTGGCTTCCTTAGTTCTTGTGAAGGTAGTTTAGTGCATTAACAGCTGTTCAAATTGCTATGTCTTTGGAGATGATCACCACAAGATCTTAGCTACCACATTGTTCCATCTCCTGGAGTCATTATACTGCTATATTTAAAGAAACAACTTTATTCTTCAGTCTTTCATTTACCTATAAGTTTTTTCTTTAGAAAAGCATTCCAAAAATTATATAAGTACTGATTTTTGAGAATACAAGGTATGTAATTTTAAATGATGATGTTTTCCTTAAGGCTTTACCCTTCAACATTGTTTTTAGCATTTAAGCAGTAATTTCTAGGTATAGAAGCAATTTATAAATGAATTATCCATGGAAATAATGGAATTTAGGAGCTCCTGTTATGGTTTAGATCTGGAATGCCCCCAAAGGCTCATGTATTGAAGGCTTGATTCATAATTCAGCAATTTTCAGAGACAGGGCTATTGGTAAGTGACTGGATCATAAGGGCTCTTACCTCATCAATAGATTAGTCTATTGGTAGATTCATAGCTAATGGCATTATTGGTAGATGGTGAAAACTTCAGGAGGTAGATCCTAGTTGGAGCAAGTGGGCCTATAGAGGCATGTCCTTATAGGATACATTTTGTCCCTTGTCTCTTTCTATCTATCTTTGCTTCCTGATTGCTAGGAGGTGAGCAGCTTTGCTCCACCACATCCCTCCCCACCACAATGTTCTGCCTCACCACAGACCTAGAAAAAAATGGAACCAAGGGAGCATGGATTAAAACCTCTGAAATCACAAGCCAACATAAATCTTTCCTCCTTTAAGTTGTTTTTCTCAGGTATTTTTGAAACAGTGACTAAAAGCTGAGCACATTTTCCCTGCTATTATTGCCTCTGGGTTACTGTATTATCCCTCTTCCTGCTTTTCTGACTCACTGGCCATGCTTTTATAAATAATCCCTTTATTAAATTTGGCTCTATATTTTCCATTGAGAACCTGACTGATAAATAACAGGGCACCCTCGCATGCATGTGCATGCACATGCACCACATATACCTAACACAACTACCCCAGAAGTCCCATCATAGACACACTATGACACTTAAATAAATAGCATCAAATCATGGAACAGAATTTTGTACAGATGGGGACAAAGATTTTTGATATCTTTGAGGGGAAATTATTAAGAAATCAATGAATCAATGAGAGGTAGAATAAAAACCAGGGATTAAGTAATAAATGGAGTACATTTAATATCGTGTTTGTATGTTAGACTTAACTTTGTGAATGGTCATTTTTATATGTCATTGGTATATGTGTTGGACTACATACATATAGAAAGTTTTTCTAATACATTACCATGATCAAAAGCTGAATTTAAATACAATATAACACATATAGGTAAGATAAAGGGTTATTTTTCTTATATTCAAAAACCTTATATAAACTGATTAAACTAACATAAGCAGCATAAATCAACATTTGGCAGCAGTTTGTAATGTTATTGTAGTCAATTGTTGATCTTTTCCAATATGTCTTAACAGTTTTTAAAATTTTTTTCTTTTAGTTGTAGATGGTGACGATCAAACCCAGTGCCTCAAATGTGCTAGACAAGAGCTGTACCTCTGAGCCACAGTCATAGCCCCTGTTTTAACACTTTTTAAGAAAAAAGATTCCTAAGAAATGATAATTAATATTTTTCATGTAATTAACTATAAAATATTTATTTTATACCTTGAATTTTTATGTTTACAATTTTATCCTATTTGAAATACATATTTGTGAATCACATGAAGGTTGCATTTTTTACTCAAATGGAAAGTCATTTGTTCTGTTTTCAAAACTCATGCTACCATTTTGAAGGGAAAGTTACTTGGATTGCAAGTCCTAGGTCTTTGGTGTACTGGATTTCATTACTTAGAGAATAACAATTTACTATAATCAAAGAATATTTTCTATTAATGTGAGGTTTTCAGGTTTTTAAGGGTATGAATTTGTGTCTGTTTCAATGACTCAAAAAGTAGGGTTGGGCTATCTGTTGTAGGAATAGGGCTCCTCCAGACATGGTCCTGTACCACAATGTTGACTTGTATGAGAGTTTGAATTTAAGTGGAAACCAGTGCTCTCTGACCAATGTCCTGTTCCAAGAAAATACCAAGTTTCATGAGTTTCCAATGTCCCAAATCTTCATGGAAAATCCCATCACCAGTGAAGTTCTCTTTGCTTCCAGCATCCTATAGACTTTATAAAGAAAATCTGTTTTACTAAAACGTATATATAATTCTAATGATAATATTTCTTTTAAAACATTTATGATTTTAAAAAGTTCTTTCAAGATTATTTTGCCAAAATGGTGAAATAGGATTTTTTAGAGCATGTCATGGAAACATCAATTTAAACAACTATTCACGTATGAAAGTACTTTCATAGGAGCTAAGAACATCAGATAGCACAGAAGTAGGAAAAGATGTATTGAAAAGGATAGGGAAAAATTATGAAGTAATGCACTCCTCTATTGTTATGTATGTAAGAAATAATTTTTTTAACTGTCAAAGCAGATTTCGTTTAATGAGAAAACATACACAGCTAATATAATGTACAGGAGCCAATCAGGGTAAAGGTCAGCAAGGTGGGGAGAATTTACATCTACACCCATCCTACAGGCAAGTAAGGGGACACATGAGCTGTCCTTGAGGGCAGAAGGGTTCTGAGCCTATCCTAGAGGTGGTCTGATTCTTCATCACAACCCATGGCAATGCCTTCTGACTAATCGTTAGGTGCTCTCTTAGCCACCTGTGGCCCCAGGACTGGGAAGCGAGTAGCAGCCAGCAAGTTAGGTTTCCTCTTTTCTGATGCAACATGCCCCACGTTACATCATGCCCTACATCTCCCCCATTTTGTTTTATTTGCAGGTGTTTGCCTTACTCGAAAGTGTGCCTGTCTTAGGTTGTCCCCCTCTGGGGACCTTACCTGTCATTGACTACCACTCTGGCTCTTCAGGCAGTTCACCTGCAAGGTCGGCAGACCCAAGGGGAAGCTTTAAGGAAGGGAGATGGCTATCGCCTATGAAGGAAACCTTTTTGCTCCCGGCTTACACCTGCATGTCCTGATAGAGGCCATGACCAACCTCATAGGGTCATAATTTTTTAAAAAGGATAGGAAAGTCTGTTTTACATTACCTGCACCACCCCTTCCTCAATACTAGGTAGCAGAGCATGGAGAGAGACAACCCCACATGGCAAGGAGAGACAAGTGAACAAACTCCAAACCTGGCACACTCCAGATTGTTCTTTCTGAAATCAGCACACGTTTAACTCAAAAACATGCAAAATCTCAAAGGAAATGAATTAAAATAATCTGCCCTTATACTTATTGTTAGTTGACCATTTTTTTGCTGGATAAAAGAATAGAAAGCTTTTCTGTGAAACTCTCTTGGAAGCACAGCATTGAAAAGTCTCTTCATTTCATTTTAACGATGGAAGGTACTACAAAGACATTTGCAACATCATCATAGTCATATGTTTTCCTTAATACTTTGTCTGTTATTCGTATGCCAGAAATACTTTGCAGGCCCAATTTTAAGGACAGTAGTGTTAGGGTAAAGCAGAGAGATGACTTTGTGGGCAGCTTTCCAAGATACCTTCCTGAATTTCCACACCAACGAACAGAAGGTGTATCACACATTTTCAAAACCAATTTCATTTTCTTATCACTACAGTTTGTTATCTTGCAGGTAATATGAAAAGGCTCTTCCATAATTACAGTATCTGGGATTTTCTCTAAAGACAGCTTTATGTTTCCATAAAATGGAGCCTCTCTTTCAAGCTGGATTGTCTGTAGTATTGCCATTTCACCCAGGTTTCTTTTCCATAATATATCTAATTTTCCCATTTCCATTAGTCCCCTAATAGTACTAGCTTTCTCTGAATATTCTGGTTTCAGCTGAAGGTGGTATAAGTACTGGCGTCCTTCTGTTGATTGCAAAAATGTCCTTGTTCCAAAGGTACACTCATCTTCTCCTCCCTGGTTAACAGTATTTAATTCTACTCCAGTGTACATTTCAGATGGCTCTAAGGAAACCTTTTGTATAAACACAGTTGAAGATGACATATTCTGAATCTGGACTTCAAGAAATAAGTCACCCATTTCTGAATTGTAAAACTTGGTTTCAATGTCCAATGGTGAGGAGAGAGAAAATAAGCAGATTTTATTTAAAAACATTCTCTCTCCACAGTAAGTTGAATGAATAGACACTGAAGCCACAGGGACAGCTCTTCAACATCCATTACTTGGTCATGAATGACATCATCAATAGAGTTGGCCCCAAGTTCTGCCACTGTAGCCATGGAGACTAAAAGATGTAAGTGCTGAGTGCTCGTCTTAAGATCAGGGTTTTCAGTATTGTCTTTACAACTTAATTGCTATCACCAAGAATTCTCATGTAACTCTAATTTTTATCTCTTCCACGGAAATATAGTTCTGAGGATTTGTGGTGATGTCAATCTTTCCCTCAAATCTTCACAATTCTGGTGGAAATCTACTTTTCATGAGCTGGTTAGAGAAATTAGCAGACATGTCTCTATCTTCACAAGTGACCGGAGAGTTGATGAACAATTATGCTTAGTAGACAGCATCACTGAGTGTCAGAAAGATTTCCTGTCTGGGTTGATCCCTTTCCATTTTGACTACAATTTTCCTCATTGTTTTAAAATATATCCAGGATTCATTTTAATCAGATAGAGTAAGGTGACAAACACTGATATAAGTGCCTTGGAAAGAAGAGTTTATTACTTAACAAAGGAAAAAGGGCACAGTGCACTTCAGAGGACCACATGAGGAAATATTAGGGTTGATCTGGAGGCAAAAGAAACCAGGGGCAAGTAGAAGCACAAGTCATTATTATGGTTTCTGTGGGTAAGGCAAGGCAGGACAGGGAGACATAGGACTGACTAGTTTGAATAACATCAGCCGGCTCAGAGCTATAGAAACTGCCCCTAGATACCTAGTGCCTGGCCCTGGAGTAATAACAAGGCAAAAGAATAGTGGCTTAACCTGCAAGAGCTTAGTAAAGGACATAGTTGATAGCTATGGACTCTGAATTTGTTGGTCTGCATATGACAGGTACACTTGCGAGGGAGTTGTTTTCTGTATCTAGGAATCAGCTAGCTCTTGGATGGGTAGTCTCTTTGGCAGACCAGCAAGGCCCTGAGTAATCAAAGAATCATCAAATACAATAGCAAAACACAATATATACTTACTCACTCTGGTGACTGGCAATAGGATGAGGTATAGGGAGGCTCAGAACAAAGCAAGCAGGATTTTGCACAGAAGAAAGGACTCGGCCTCAAAATAACTCTTATGTCAATCAAAATAATTCCTATATCAGGGTCTGACCTGAGAAGTAGAACCAGTAGGAAATAGATAATAGATAGACAGATAGATAGATTTTTATTACAGGGAATTGACCTACACAATTGAGGGAACTACTTAAACAGTCCCTATAATGCTGTCTCAATGGATGGAGCGTCACATATTTACAGAATGGGTCATCTTTCTACCTAATTATCAAAATCTTCCTTTACTTAGATTGCCCTTTGGTGAGCATTCACACAGGACACTAGTATCTTCACATTCTGTGATGATGTGGAGATTTCTATCATATTTTTTCACTAGGCCTCTTCAACTCCTATTTTCTAATCATGTTTTATCCAAATCCTGGGCCTTTCAGACAAACTACTGGCCACAGTCCATAGATTGTTTTAGACTCTTACCTCTGGCCATTTCTCCTTCCAGTAAAAGTAAACAAGCAAGTAAGTGCACTGTTTGAAGTTTTATGCATTAAGAAAATGCAGTCCATTTACTGCTGCCCCGTTAGGGCTGCCCCAAAGTTGATTGCTACTGCTATGACTGTTGGGTCATGCATTTGGGATGCTTCTTCATACACTGTAGAATCTTCTTGAGCCTCATCTTGTTTAATGCTGCTGTGTACATCCAACTTTATAGCTGTATGGCTTGAATCACAAGACACTTTGGCTCATGGTTGCACATTCAGTCTCTACTCAGGCCCAATAGCAATCCAAAAGTTGTGTTTCACAAGAAGAGTAATTTTCTGCAGAGGATGGAGAGTATTTTCCCCAAAGCCTAAGGTTCTGCATGTGGTTCACTGTTGTGGTCCCCAAGCAGCATATTTACATGCCACTGACTCTTTAGACATCATGGAATCTGCTGAATTAAGTGGCCCAGCAGCTTTCATGGCATCCTGGACCTCTTGCAGAGGCTTCAATTGTTCTGGACTTAAATCAAATTAAAGTAGTCAATATCACAATAAACAGTATTTCTACAAACTAGAAATGGGTATTGGCAAATTGAAACAAAAATCTATCCCAGATTTCTAGTTTCTGGTGTGGCTTGTAAGGAGCTTAGATGTTGTCATCCTGTTTTAACAACAAACAAAAGCTGAACAAACTGAAAAATACTTTTTATATCCAACAAGAGAATTGAGACCATAAAGCAATAGGTATGTGCAAGTCTGAGAGTTAAAAATGCTAGTCCTGCACAATCATAGAGGAACCTGTATTCCTTTGTGAGTTTTATCTCCAGGATTTCTACCACATTGTCAAACTAAAGATAGAAAAAAAAATATTCAATCTGGTAGGGTGTTATGGTTTAAATATGAAATGACCCCAAAGTTCATGTGTGAAGCAATGCAAGGAAGTTCAGAGGTGAAATGATTGGATTATGAGAGCCTTAACATGATCGCTATACTAATCCACTTGAATGGATTAACTGGGTAGTAATTATAGGCAGGTGGGGTGTAGCTGAAGAAGGTAAGTCACTGGGGGTGTACCTTTGTGGTTTATTTTTTATAAAATACATAGTTTATATTTACTGTGTATATGGAAAGTTTTTCTATCATTTTAGTTTTAACTTAGAGTCTAATCCATATCTTACAACAATCCGAAGGTCTACATTATTAATATTTTGTTGAGGATTTTTGCAGAGAGTTCATTGTTCTGTCTCAAGCTAGTGAAGCTCTTTATTTGCTTCCTTATGGCCATGTCCTGAGCTGCTTTCCTCTGTCATGCCCTTCTGCCATCATGTTCTACCTCAACTCAGGTCAAGAGCTATAGAGTCAGCAACCACGGACTGAACCTCTGAAATCATGAGTCAAAATAAACTTTTCCTCCTCTAAGTTGTCTTGGTCACAGCAGTGCAAAGCTGCCTAAAATGGGGTGAAGAGATATACATGTCCCACAGCATTCTGTTGTTTATTTTTATTTTCAAATTAACAAGTGTATAGATGTATTTTCATACATGATACATTGTAAAGTGGCTAAATAAAGACATTTTACAGATATATTACCTCACAAACTTAATTTTGTGATGAAAACACTGAATGTCTATTCTCTTAGCAATTTTCAAGTATATAATATGTTGCTATTAACTAGAGTCATCATAATTTACAATATTCTTCAACTTGTTCCTCTTTTTTAATTAAAATTTTGTGTCCTTGGACCAACATCTCCCCAATCCTCCCACCCCAGGCTCTTGGTAACCACCATTCTTTCTGCTTCTATGAGTTTGACTTCTATATTCCATATATAAGGGAGATCATGCATTATTTGTCTTTCTGTGTCCAGCTTATTTCACTTAACAGATGTATCCATCTTCTTGCAAATGACAAGACTTCCTTCTTTTTCAAGACTGAATAGTATTCCATTGTGTGTATGTACCACACTTTATTTATTCATTTGCTGATGAACACTTAGAATCATTAAATATCTTAGTTACTGTGAATAATGCTGTAATGAAAATGAATTTGCACATATCTATTCAACATACTGATTTTAGTTTGTTTGAATACATATGGAAAAGTGGCATTTCTAGATCATGTAATGATTGTTTAATTTTTTGAGGAAACTCCATACTGTAGTCCATAGTGATGAACCAATTTACATTTCCACCAGAAATGTATAAGGATTCTCTGTTCTTCATATCCTCACTAATATATGATTTGCAAACATTTTCTTTCATTGTGTAGGTTCTCTCATCACTCTGTTGATACTTTCCGTGGCTGTGCAGAAGCTTTTATGCTTGATATAATCTCATTTGTCTATTTTTGCTTTAAGTACCTGTGTTTTGGGGGTCATACCCAAAATAATCATTGCCCAAACTAATGTCATAGAACTTTTCTTCTGTTTCCTTTCAGTAGTTTTAAAGTTTCGTGTGTTATATTTACTTATTCTTAAATGATTTTAAATGAGGTCTGAGAGGAAGTACTAATTTTATTCTGCATGTGGATATCCAGGTTTCTCAGTATCATCTATTGAATATAATTTTCCCCTGTTGTGTGTTCTTGAGAACATTGTAAAAAATTGACTATATATGTGTGGGTTTATTTCTGGGCTATCAATTCTGTTCCATTGGTTTATGTGTTTATTTTCATTCCAGTACTATACAATTTTGATTATTATAGCTTTGAATTATTTTGGGGGGGTACAAGGGATTAAACCCAGGGGTGCTTAATCACTGAGACACATCCTCAGCCCCCACTTTTTTGAGACAGGCTAAGTTGCTGAGGCTGGCTTTGAACTTATGATCCTCCTGCCTCAACCTCCTGAGCCACTTGGATTACAGGTGTACACCATAGTACTTGGTTTGAGGTAGATTTTTGAAATGAGATAGTGTGGTGCCTCTGGTTGTGTTCTTTTTGCATAAGATTGTTTTGAATATCCAGGGACTATTGTGGTTCTATGTGAATTTTAAGTTTGTTTTTCTTATTTCTGTGAAATACCATGAGAATTTCAATGGCACTCACAATCAATCTGTATATTGCTTTGGGGAATATACACATTTTAACAATATTAAACCTTCCAGTTTATGATATAGGAGTTTTTTTATTTATTTGTGTTTCTTCAATTTTTTCATCAGTGCTTTATAGTTTATAGCATAAAGACTATTTACCTCCTTGGTTAAACTTATTCCTAAGTACCTTTTGATGTTATTGTAACTGTAATTGTTTTCTTGATTTCTCTTTGGGAGAGTTCATTGTTTTTGTACAAAAACACAACTGCTATTGCAAGTTGATTTTGAATCCTACAATTTCAGTAAATTCATTTCCTTTTTAGTAGGGTTTTTTGTTTTGTTTTGTTTTGTTTTTGGTGGAGTTGTTAGGATTCTCCATGTATAAGTTCATGTCATCAGCAAAGAGAAAATTTCACTTCTATGTTTGTGGTTTGCTTGAATTATACTTCTTTCACTTGCCTAAATTCTCTGGATAGGGTTTCTAGAACTATGAAGACTAGAGGTAGCAAGGATAGATATTCTTGTTTCTCATTTTAGAGGAAAAGATTACAACTGAGTATGATTATTAGCTATGGGATTGCCATATATAGCTCTTAGTATGTTAAGTAACATTCCTTCTATACCAATTTGTTGAGAATTTTTATTATAAAAGAATGTGAAATTTTGTCAAATACTTTTTCTTCATCCATCGAGATGCTTATATTTTTATCCTCCATTCTGTTAGTGTGGTGTACCTCATTTATTGATCTGCCTATTTAGAATCATCCTTGCATCCCTGGGATAAATACTGCTTGGTGAAATGTGATATTAAATTTAGTTCATTTTTATTTTGTTGAGGATTGTTGCATCTATATTCATCAAAGATATTATGATATTGGCCTATTTCTGCTTCCTTGTTTGATTTTGGTGTCAGGGTAATGCTGGCCTTGTCAAATGATTTTGGAAGTATAATCTTTCTTCTAATATTTTGGAAGAATTTGACAAGTATTCCTACTAGTTCCTCTTTGTTTGGTAGAATTCAGCAGTAAGTGAAGCCATCACGCTGTGGAGTTTTTCTTTGATGGGAGATTTTTTAAATTACCGATTCATTCTTTTTATCCATTATTGGTCTGTTCAGATTTTCTTCATGATTCAGTTCTGATAGGCTATATTTGAGTAGGAATTAATTCATTTTTCTAAGTGATTCATTTCACTGGCATATGATTTTTCACAAAAGTCTCATGATTTTTTGTATTTCTGTTGTATCAATTGTATTATCTTTCATTTGTGACTTTATTTGCGTATTCTCATTTTTTTTCATTTCTATTGTTTTTCTGATCTTGTCTCTATTCATTCTGCAATGGTCTTAATTATTTATTTCCTCTACTAGCTTTAGGCTTAGTTTCTTTTTCTTTTTCTAGTTCTTTGAGATTTAATATTAGGTTATTTATTTCAGATTTTTCTTATTTTATGATTTAGACATTTGTTGCTTTAAGTTTCTCTCTTAGAACTTCTTTAGATTCATTCCATAAATTTTGACATGTGGGTTTCCATTTTCTCTTGTCTGAAGATTTTTTAAAATTTCCCTTTTAATTTCTTCTTTGTCTCTTTGTTTGTTTAGGAGAATGTTGTTTAATTTCCATAAAGTTATGTATTTTTCAAAATTCCATTAATTATTGCTTTCTAGTTTCATGTCATTGTGTTTGAAAAAGACATTTAATGCTTGGTCTTTTCAATTTTTAAAAATTTGTTAAGATTTGTCATGTGACCTAACAGATATCTGTCCCAGGGCATGCTCCATGTGTGCTTAAGAAGACTGTATTCTGCAGGTGCATATATCCATTAAGTTCACTTGATCTTAAGTGCAGTATAATTCCAATGTTTACATCTTTATTTTCTGTCTGTATTATCTATTGTTGAAAGTGGGATATTGAAATATTTTATTGTCTTGTAGTCTATTTGCCTTTTAGATCTCTTAATATTGCCTATGTATTTATGTGCACCAATGTTCAGTGCATATATGGCTGTGGTTCTTTGGATATACCCATCTCTCATGCTCTTGGGGCAAATTTCCTCTGTAATCTTAGTTTTTTGATACAGCTAAGACATGTCATTGATTTTCAGTGTGTTTGGCTTTCTCTTGGTATCAAAATATCAGTCATGACTACAAGGGTCTTTACATGACAGAGCTGAAACCGAAGGTCTGGATTGTTAATATTTTGTTGAGGATTTTTGCATCTATATTGATAATGGATATTTTTATTCTGTTGTAATGGCTTTGTCTAACTTTAATGTGAGAGAAATATTCAAAATAATTCAGAAAATGTTGCCTCCTACTTTGTTTTCAGGGAGAGTTTCTGAAGGAGTGCCATTATTTCTTATTTAAGCATTTAGTATAATTTACCCAAAAAGCCATTTGTCTCTGGATTTTTCCTTGTGGGGTGGTTTTTTAATTACTAATTAAATTTGTTTGGTTGTTTTAGACTTATTCAGGTTTTCTATTTTTTTCTTGAGGCTTCATTTTTGGAATTGTGTCTTTCTGGGATTTCATCTAAGTTGTCTAACTTGGTGACATACAAATATTTATAGCATGCTTTTATAATACTTCTTGTTTTAAAACAAAGTTAGTAGTGAAATTTATCATTTCACTCTATTGTATTAATCTGTGGGCTTCCTCTTTTTTCTTCCCTCTGGTTAAACAGGTATCATTCTTGCTGATCTCAAAGAAACGCCTTTCAGTTTCATTTATTTTGTTTTTAGCTTTTCATTTTTAATCTTTATTTGTTTTTAGTTCTAACCTTTATTATTTCTTTCTTTGTATTTTGAGTTTAATTTGATGTTTTCCTTCTCAGGTTTGAGGCATAGGTAATAGATTTCAATGTTACTATTTTTATAATACAAAGATTTGTTACTATAAACTTTCCTCTTATTGCTACTTTAGGTGTATCCCATACA